ATGTTCATTTGTCAAAACACAAGAATCTACCTTTTGTGCTCTAACAAACCATTTTTAGCAATTTACTTTATATCACAATAGTATCTAACCCTAATATAATGCTAACCCCAACATAAACGAACTTTAAGATGTTTTCTTGTATCATGTGATACTATTGATGATGTCGCGTCAAATTTACTGAATCTCATTGCGCATCGTGGAATGTGCATTTAGGGGTCGTCCAAAGCCAGCATCGCCTTCATAATGTTATTCACGTAATAGGCGAAAACAAAACTTTAAAGTTCGTTATGTATTTATTAGGTTTAGAAGTTAGTGAGGCATATAGTGAAATTTCACGAGAAAAATTGTTTGTCAAAAAACCTTTGGATCATCATGTAACATCAAAATGTGCCTCATTATTGACAGACTTTTGTCGGTCATCACCTGACAGTGGCAGTGACGATGCTAGGTGCGACAATACAGTGTTATCTCAAGGTTTAAACCTTTACGTAACTGCTTAACGTTAAATATTTGGTATATCATTAAATTTAGGGGAATTTACAAATAAGGGCCCGGAAAGTGACAATAATTACAAATACGGGCCCAAATTACATATAAGGGCCTAATTTTTAAAAAATATTACATATAAGGGCCCAGATCTATTGATGGCTGAAAAAACGTGATCACAGGATTATTGCGCCACAAAGAACTACGCCCATTTAACATTATCAATTGTTTTATATAGGTATTTATAGTTATCTATAATGAAGCTCTGGTTATGATCATTTATGCTTAAATATTGTATAAAAAATAGCGTTAGAATACAGTAGCATAATTATTTATAAGGCATAGAAGTTTCAACAGAGTAGCTTTCTAGAACGAATATATTAGTAAATGTCATGCCAATTCGCAGTGCTTTACTTGGCATCATAATGGTTTGTTATAACAATAAGCAACGTTATGGAACGAATATCTTCCATATTAGTAAATGTCATGCAAATTCGTAGTGCTTTACTTGGCATTATAGTGGTTTGTTATACGTAATGATAAGCAACTTTATACAAAGAAAATGAAATTTATTAAATTTAAAAAATTTTCGCTTAATAACTACATTTATTGATGCTTACATTTCTTATGTTAATGGCGATCAAGCCACAGGCTTGAATAACATCGCAG